CGCCCAGAGGAGGTGCCAAGAGTACTTCCAGGCACATCTGAAAGCACTTCCGGTTTCTTTCTGCACACGTTATTTTTATTTCTTAACATAATGTATTTAATGCAGGTTATGATAGCGAGTGTGTGTGTGTGTGTGTGTGTGTGTGTGTGTGTCTGGTTGTGTGTGTCTGGTTGTGTGTTTGCTTGTTTGATAGAGGTTTTTTATTTTATTTTATTAACTCTGTGTGTGTGGGTGTGTGTGTGTGTGTGTCCGAGTGTGATGTGTGTGTGGCAGGAGGAGGTACCTGTAGAGAACAGAAGATGATATTAGACTTGCCAAAGCTAGTGTTACAGGCAGCTGTGAGCCAACTGATGTGGGTGCTGGGAACTGAAGTTGAGTCCTCTGCAAGAAATACTAAGTCATCACTCAGTCACTGGTTACTTTGTGAGAGGAGATCTTGCTATGTAGTGTAGACAGGCCTCGAACTCTCCACAGCTCTGCCTCGGCCTCTTGAGTGCTGGTTTTGCAGGCATGCATCACCACACCTGGCTAGAGCATTATATTACTAAGATTTGTGCAAACCCCAGGTTTTTCATGTAGCATAGTGACCAAGACTTAATTTATCAGGTGACAAACTCAGCATTTCCTAGAACAAGACCTAAAAAAAAATATTTATTATAAGTTAATTTTGATTGACATTTTACAACTGGCCTAGGTGCTTGTTTCTGTGACAAAATGCTGACCAAAAGCAACGTAGGGAGGAAAGAATTTATTTCAGTTTATGCCTCTCAGGTCACACCCATCACTGAAGGAAGTCGGGGCATGAACCTGGAAGCAGGAATTGGAGCAGGGACCACGAAGGAATACTCATTGGCTTGCTCCTCATGTCTTGCTAAGCCTGATTTCTATAGCACCCATGACCACCTGCCTAGGGGTGGCATTGCCCAGAGAGAGCTTCCTTACCCATCATCAATCAGGAAATCTCAACTACAGTTTCCTCTTTCCAGATGCTATTTGCTTGATTCGAGTTGACAGAAACTAATTGGCAGAGTGACAATCTTTACATGATCTTCTACCCCCAACTATAAGATAAAAATTAAGGATGCAACGGAAATACAATAGAAGGCTGTTTAGCAATAGTGGGTGACGCACGGAGAAACAATATTAACTAATGCTAATTTGTAAAAACTGAAATGGCTCTCAGAGTTGTTTTGATTTGCATTTCTCGAATGGCTAAGGATGTTGAGCATTTCCTTAAGTGGCTTTCAGCCATTTGAGATTCCTCTGTTGAAAGTTATCTGTTTAGGTCTGTACCTCATTTTTTATTGAATTATTTGTTCTTTTAAAGCTCTTGGGTACTCTGTATATTTTGGAGATCAGTCCTCTGTCCGATGTGGGGTTGATGAAGATCTTTTCCCATTCTGTAGGCTGCCATTTTGTCTTGTTGACCATGTCCTTTGCTTTACAGAAGCTTCTCAGTTTCAGGAGGTCCCATTCATTAATTGTTTCTCTCAGTGTCTGAGCTACTGGGTTATATTTAGGAAATGGTCTCCTGTGCCAATGTATTCAAGTGTACTTCCCACTTTCTCTTCTATAAGGTTTAGTGTGGTTGGTTTTATGCTGAGGTCTTTGATCCATTTGGACTTGAGTTTTGTGCATGGTGATAGATATGGATCTGTTTGCATTCTTCTATATGTTGATATCCAGTTATGCTAGCACCATTTGTTGAATATACCTTTTTCCATTTCATAATTTTAGCTTCTTTGTCAAAAATAAAGTGTTTGTAGGTGTGTGGATTGATATCTACGTCTTTAATTCTATTCCACTGGTCCTCCCGTCTGTTTTTATGCCAATATCAGGCTGTTTACATTACTGTAGCTCAAAACAACTCTGAGATTCCATCATACACCTGTCAGAATGGCCATGATCAAAACCACTGATGACATGTGGAGAAGGGGAACACTCCTCCACTGCTGGTGGGAGTGCAAACTTGTAGAATCGCTTTGGAAATCAGTATGGAGATTTCTCAGAAAATTAGGAAACAATCTACCCCTCAAGACCCAGCAATACCACTTTTGGGTATATACCCAAAGGAAGCTCAATCATACCATAAGGGCATGTGCTCAACTATGTTTATAGCCGCATTATTCATAATAGCCAGAACCTGGAAACAACCTAGATGCTCCTCAACCAAAGAATGGTTAAAGAAAATATGGTACATTTACACAACGGAGTACTACTCAATGGTAAAAAAATAATGACATCTTGAAATTTGCAGGCAAATGGATGGATCTAGAAAAAAATATTTTGAGTGAGGTAACCCAGACTCAGAAAGACAAATATACTATGTACTCAATGTAAGTGGCTTTTAGACATAAAGCAAAGAAAAACCAGTTTACAATCCACAACCCTAGAGAACCTAGATAACAAAGAGGACCCTAAGAGAGACATACATGGATCTAAATAGGAAGAAGAAAAAGACAAGATCTCCTGAGTAAACTGGGAGCATGGAGTTCACGGGAGAAGATAGAAGGGGAGAGGGGAGGAATGAAGGGGAGCAGAGAAAAATGCATAGCACAAGAAAATAAAAAAAATTTAAAAACTGTAAGGACAAGACATAAGATGGTACATACATACTGTTTTGGGTGTTATGCGTGTTGTATGTCCTATGTGGGGTGTGGGGTGTGTGTGTGTGTGTGTGTGTGTGTGTGTGTGTGTGTGTGTATGGTACATATATGTGAATGTCAGTGTATGTGTTCGTGTATATGCATATGGAAGCCACAGCAGGACAGTAAGGTCTTCCTCTATCACTCTCTGCCATAATGCCTTTACCAGAGAGGGTCTCTCACTGAACAGAAAGATCATCATTTTGGCAAGGTTGCCTAGGCAATGAGTTTCAGGATCTGCCTATATCTGCCCCCCAATGTTGGATTGTAGGCATGCACAGCCATGTCCCCGTTTTGTATATGGGAACTAGATATTCAAAAACAGATTTTCATGCCATCTTCCAGACCCCCACACTGGGTACAACAAACACCCTTCACAACAAACTATAGATTTTTTTGAACAATGATGAAAAATAGAGTAAAATGCAGTTAAGAAAAATGACTTTTATTAAGGTCATTTTTACTTACACTTGTTAATGCCCAGTAATGAATATATACCATCTTTCCCAATGATAGCAATTCAAGAACAAAAGCCTTCTAGAGTGTGCTTTCTTGAACTCTATTTAGGATACATGCTCATATTCCTTTCATCATTTGAAATTTTTAGAACACAGATATCAGGGGAGTTTTTTTTTTCATTTGCTTTTTAAACTTGAGCATTTTAATACTGACCAAATAAGAAACTGTACTGCAACGTTCATTCCTCCAGCCAAACACAAACACAGAACACCATCCATCCAAAAATTTCCTGCAGAGACTGGTCTTAAACAGCTGCAGCAAACCATGCCTCAGCCACGAGCCATGGGCTCATCAATACCTCCTTCCCTCCTGCCCTGCTTTCCAACATATTAAATGCTATGCTGGCAACTTACTCCTTGTAATTTTTAAAGGTGTTTCACTAAAGGCAATAAATGATAGAGTTATAAAATGTAGCCTATGTTACTGAGGAGCTAAAACATGTGGAGTTCAAGATTCTCAAAGCACTGTGGGGACCCATGACTCTGACACGTCTCAAAGTAGACAAGAGTTCTTGAAGATGCCACCAGGGTTGTCCTCTAGCCTCCGTCACACACATATAAAACAACCCTATTTTTTGGGGGGGGTGGGGGGTGAGACAGGGTTTCTCTATGTAGCTTTGGAGCCTGTCCTGAAACTCATTCTGTAGACCAGGCTGACCTTGAACTCACAGAGATCCTCTTGCCTCTGCCTCCCAAGGGCTGGGATTAAAGGCATACACCACCACCGCCCAGATAAAACAAACCACTTTTGAAAATCACTTCTGGGAATAATTAAACCCTATATCAAGAGATATGAAAGACAAGTAATAGGAAAAGGTACCATGTGTTTTTAAATACTCTTCAATGCAAGTCAGATTTTTAAAACTCTATTTTTGAACTTGGCAGTTACGTAGACTCCAATGCTATTTACTTGTTTATTGTCATTGTCTTGTAAATTAACTCCCACACCAGGTAAAAACAAAGGGCAAAGACTCAGATCATTGGCATTGGCATTGGACACTGTAGAATGGTTCATTTTGGGACATTAATTTTAGCTCTACAACAGGAGGATAAAATCATAAGTTAATGTCTGCATTATTAAGAAAATTAACATTAATGAGCTAAAGAGAAAATGTAGCAAATCTGAGGAACAAAATTATGAAGTTGCCCAGCCAAACTATTCTAACAATAAGATGTTATATATTTGTGGTTAATACATGTGGTCTGCTTGGGACAAAGAAGAACAAAGAATGTGGGTGGTGGGGTTAAGAGCTGGGCAATAGGTACAGTGAACTCACTATATCATCCCCACACATGTGTGTACCTGTACATATGTACATGGAAACCAGAAGAGAATGTCAGGTGTCCTCTCCCACCATCCTCCACCTTTTATTTTGAAATGAACCTGATGCTCACCATCCCAACCAATCCAATCAACCATCTAGCACCCAGGATCCACCAATCTCCACCGCTCAATGATGGAGGGCTAGGTATACATGGCCATGAACAGCTCTTATGTGGTTGTTGAGGATTTGAACTCAGGTCTTTTTGCTTGCATGGCAAGCACTCTTTCCCACTAAGCCATCTCCTCAGCCCTAAACAGATTTTTTTTTCAACTGTATCTTCAGAATGAATTTAATTCTGGAACAAGAAACATTTGTATAACTCTAGATGTACACAGAGCAAACCATAAACCATCAAGATTATCATCTTTCATCATCATTATTAAAGGAGCAGTTACTTCTAAAGTATCTACTGTCAAATTATTTTTTAATGAACAAGGACATTTAAGAATTTCAAGTTTACTTAAACGGGCTTCAGGTTTTATGAAGAGTAACACTGTACAGTCTGTACATACCAGGAGTATCATAGGTCTTTTCCAAGTTGTCAATCCAATGATTCCAGAGAGTATCACCTGTGAGGATAAATACATCATCAGCCCAGAAAATGCTAGTTAAACATTTCCCGTTCTTGCTGCTTATATAAACCATGGCAAAATCACTCTGGATTGTCTTACAGACCTACGAAGTATGTTTATTGACTGTGGTGGTTTGAAAAGAATAGCCCCTAGAGGGAATGGTACTATTAGGAGGTGTGGCTTTCTTGGAGTAGGATCAGCCTTATTGGAGGAAGTGTCACTATGGAGGCAGGCTTTGAGGTCTTATATGCTCAAGCCATGCCCAGTGTCTCAGACCACTTCCTGTTGCCTACAGTCAAGATGTAAGAAAGAACTCTCAGCTCCTTCTCTAACACCATGTCTGTCTACATGGTGCCTTGCTTTCTGCCATGATGATAATGGACTAAATCTCTGAACTGTAAGCCACCGCAATTAAATGTTTTTCTTTATAAGAGTTGCCATGGTCATGGTGTCTCTTTACAGCAGTAGAAACCCTAACAAAGACACTGGTTGTGTGTGCTTTCCATTTGTGTTAGTAAAAAGATCAGTATCTCTGACCAAGTGTTCCATACACTCAGTCTGCTGTCAGTCAGTCTGGGACATACACAAGTATCTGCACAGGACAGGTAAACTCCAAAACAGCAGACAAAACCCTTGAGGGTATATCCTAACCCAAGTTTAAAGCCTGGGTTCCACATTCCCCTGATCCCTCACTACACTTCCCTTCCAGGTACCCTGCCCTTCCTTGGTCATCCAGGCTAGACCCTGGACTTGGTGCTATGTCCTCTTTACTGAAGTACCCATTCTTCCTGATGACCATCCTAGCTGCCTGAGAACTCTTAGCCATTCTACAAGTCCCTACTGTCATCTCTGAGAAGCCTTCAGGAACCTCATCACCCCATATGTGTGCCTGTACATACCAACTTCTTTTTTCTCTTAAAAAAAATCCTGATTATGGCAATTAAGAGAACCTGCTGCTCTTGGGAGGACTGGAGTTCAGTTCCCTGCACCTTAGTCAGGCAATGTGGCACCCACACGCACCGACACAGACAGACAGGCACACAAAAGCACACACACACCTTTTTCTTCTCTTTAAGAAAAGTCTGGTCATCATTTGTGCACCTCTGCTCCTGTCCTGTCTTTAAATCCTTGGCTCCTATGAGTGCTGGTCACATGATTATCAACAAGTGACTGTCCCAGAACATTCACTTCACAAAGAGGAACTAGGGAGTGAAAGCTCTCATGTTGCACAACAATGCTTTAATTAAAAACAACACACTAAAAGAACCAGAATGTTGCCAAAACACAGACTGGAAACCACCCCAGCCTCTGGATGGCACGGTTCACTAAACCACCGGAAAGAAGAATCAAAACAATCCTTCACTGGGGACACCCTGAGGCTCTAGAGTATACTTGTATAATGGGGTGCATCCACCAAGTGCAGCAAAGAGGAGTTTCCTTCACAGAGCATCTCCCTTGCCCCAATTCCTCTCATGCACACATCCACAATTGTTGTTTATTAACTACACACCAGGCAAGGGTGTTCAGATCAGGTGCACAGGTTCACCTGCAATCCCCCATCTCAAGACTGAAGCAGCCCAGAGCACACACCAGCACGGAACAAAATGTATTCACATAACCTTGACCGAGAACCTCATATGTACAGGCAGGCTGGTGATGGTTTCTTTCTAGCCCAATCTATCCTGAAAACACCATTAATTTCAATAGGGTTCCTCTTGCCTTCATTCCTAACGTGTGGGCTGTGTTGCCTCTCTACGTTGGAACAGGGACCCAGGGCTTTGGTGGCCTGCTCAGATTCAAAAGGGTCAGTCATATGACCTTGGCTAAGTCTCTTCATTGTCTTCACCCTCACTCTGGTCTCCTGAGAGATGTTTAGTGAAAGAAATCAACTCTGGGTCTCTTCCAACTCAAAGAATGAACACTGAGCTGGGTGTAGTGGCGCACACATATAATATACTCAGGATGCTGAGGCAGAAGGATCACAAATTCAAAGTCAGTCTGCTCTCAAACAACCAAAGAAATAAAATAAAAATAAAATAAAATAAAATAAAAATAAATAAATAAACCACAAAAGACTGATCCCACCACGATGAGAGATTCCTCAGAAAACCTGATACCCACTGAGTCTATGAGCTCACACTCATGTGCCTGTGAACACATGTTGTTGTGTGTGCATGTGCATGTATCTGCCATACGGGGCCACTTGTTCATGCATGGATACATACAAACATCTGCATGAATGTCCTTGTCTGTGTGTCCCTGCCTCCTCACCCTGCTCGGACTGGACTTGGCTGAGGAAACACAAACTGGTTTTATGTGCAAACATGACTGAGTACTTCCCTGCCCTTGAGGAAATCGCAAACTGCCCACTTCAGTAAAAGAAAATAACTATGATCTGAATTATTTGAATTATTATTATGTTTGTTATTTGTGTCAGAGTCTCGTAATACCCTGTGGTCCAGCTTTCAGGAACATTCTCATTTTCCATTAAGGGAGTCATTTTAGAGTTTACAAGAGACTTGATTCTAGAGGGGATCCCAGGTCCAAGGAGAGATACCCAGATTATTCTCTGGACAGAGGAGAGGATGCCTGAACCGGCCTTGGCCCATAACCAACTGATGAATATTTTGCATATTACCATAGGTCCTTCATCTGGCGATGGATGGAGATAGAGACAGAGACCCACATTGGAACACTGGACTTAATTCCCTAGGTTCAAACAAGAAGCAGAAGGAAAGAGAACATGAGCAAGGAAGGCAAGATCAGAGGGAACCTTCACCCATTGATGGATGGAGATTGAGCCAGAGACCCACATTGGAGCACTGGACTGAGCCCCTAAGGTCTAAATGAGGAGAAGAAGAAGGGAGAACATGAACAAGAAAGGCAGGACCGTGAGGAGTGCGTTCACCCATTGATACAAGGGGACTGATCTAACAAGAGTTCACCAAGGCCAGTTGGACTGGGACTGAACAAGCACGTGATCCAACCAGATTCTCTGAATGTGGCCGGATTCTCTGAATGTGGCTGGCACAGGGACTTTCTGAGAAGCCATTGACAATGACACTGGGACTTGTTTCCTCTGCATATACTGGATTTTTTGGGATCCAGTCTGTTTGGATGCTCACCTTCCTGGACCTGGAGGGAAGGGGGAGGAACTTGAACTTCCCACGGGGCAGGAAACCCTGACTGCTCTGGGGGATGGAGAGGGAGGAGGAGAGGGAGTGGGGGGGAGTGGAAGGGTGTTGGGAGGAGCGGCGGAAATGGAAACTTTTGAGCGGCAGAAATGGAAACTTTTATAAATTAATAAACTTTTATAAATAAAAAAAAAAGATGAAGTGTCCAGCCTAGGACAAAAGCCTATAAAACAGTGATGTGCCAGAGCTACACTTTCCATCTCTGTAACAGCCTCAGGGTCCCATCTCCTCCACGCTCACAAGTTAGTATATTAAATGCATTTTATATAAGCATACATCTCTCTCTAAATTCTTATTGCTATATGTCAGTGGCATGCATGTGTATGCATATATGCACAAGGGTGTGATTGTCACAAAATCGTCATGACAGAATTGCTTTCTTATTTGTTTTTGTGTGTTTCTCAAAACAGAGTTTACTGTGTAGCCCTGGCTGTCTGGAACTCATTCTCCAGACCAGGCTGGCTTCAAATTCAAATAGATACACCTGCCTTTGCCTTCTGAGTGCTGGGATTAAAGGCATCCACCACAACCTCCTGGTTTAGATTTGCTTTTTCTGATCTCAGTAAGCACTTCATTAGAATCTTGTCAAGTCCACTGAAATAGCTGTAATTCATTTCAGCTCCATGGCTGTATAGCCTTCTATTGTGTGGTAGTATATAATGGAGTCAATCATTTCCATATTTGTGGGCATTAACTCTAGTTCCAGCTTTTTATTCTTGTAAACAATACAGCCATAGACATTCATATGTTTTGTGAGTATATCCTTAAAGACACATGCTTTTATTACTGTTGGACAAAGTCTCAGGAAAGGGGTGGCTAAATAGCATGCTATTTATATTTCTTAATTCTAATATAACCTCGTGGATGCCTTTTGCAACCAAGGCCTTCTTCTGAGACAGAAAGAACCACGTTGTCTTTCTGATTTGGGGAGTGGCATTTTGTCTACAGCACAGCAACTGCAGAAAATGTAATTGAAAAATATGAATACAATATGGTATGTAAAGAATATCAATAACCTCACAATGTGTTTGGCAAAGATATTAAGACTTGTTGGTGAGAAAAACAAAGCTTATAGGGCATTAAATAAATCAAGACATGCCAAGGTCGTGGGTTAGACGGCATCGTTGCCACTTGACTTCTGAAATGGATTCCGAGCACAGCCTGCAAGCTTGTGTGAACTACAGTCCTTACCAGGTGCTGGAAAGTAAGTTCAGTCGCCTGGCAGAGTTGATTTACATCCCCAGCACTTTAGAAGGCTTGGGCCTGTGTATCACAAGTTCAAGGCCCACCTGGGCTACAGAGTAACTTTGAGGCCACTTAGGCCAGGCAGGGAAATTCTATTTCAAAATAAATAGGAAAAAAAAGGCTGGGGATACATTGAGGGGCTTGGTCCCCAGTACTAGGGGGCAGAAATAAAACTGTACCTTAGTTCCAGGTGGCAGCTGCATCCGCAAGAACCAGTCCTAAACTGGCAACAAAGCCATGACCTGTTAACTTTCACCCAGTAGCCCTGTTCTTTGCTACCCTGGTGAACCCCAGGCATTTGGAGAACACTGTGAATGGGGAGGACTGAAAAGTCGACAGAGGAAGGAGGAACAGAGAGTGAGAAGCCTCTGAAATTGGTGACAGGAACTGAGGCTCTGCTCTAAGGTTGAATCCCTTAAGAGTACAAGACTCAAGGAATGCTTGTGCTTTGTGTCATCCAAGCAGGGAGTTGTGGAAGGCCAGAAGAGAAGGCCTCTGTGGCAGCAGTAGCTGGGCTGTCAGGAGGGAGTCCAGAAGGCCTTTAGGAATGACCTTCCA